CTCCTCTGCAACACAGACAAACAGCTCCTCTGCAACCCAAACTGCTCCTCTGCAACCCCAACTGCTCCTCTGCAACCCAAACTGCTCCTCTGCAACCCCAACTGCTCCTCTGCAACCCAAACTGCTCCTCTGCAACCCAAACTGCTCCTCTGCAACACAGACAAACAGCTCCAAGGGTATCTCCAAGCAAATCTGCTCCCCAAGTCACTTTACTCTCCAAGTCAAGCTCAGCTGTTGCAGGTGGACAAACACCACGTATGTTTTCCTTAGATCCCAGCCCTGCTCTACTCAGGGAGAGGAGACAAAGAAGGCCAGAAGCTTTCTCTTGTCAGAAAATCACAGAATTATTTAGGTTGGAGAAGCCCTCCAAGATCAGCGAGTCCAAGCTGTGCCCCATCCCCACCTTGTCCCCAGCCCAGAGCACTGAGTGCCACCTCCAGCCCCTCCTTGGACATCTCCAAGAATGGGGACACCAAACCTCCCTGGGCAGCCCCTTCCAATGCCTGGCTACCCATGGGGAAATTCCCCTTCATGTCCAAACTCAATGTCACCCGGCACAACTCGACGATATTTTCCTTGTCCTGTCGTTCCCTGGGAGCAGAGCCCGACCCTCCCCGGCTGCCCCTTCCTGTCAGGGACTCGTGCAGAGCCAGAAAGTCCCCCCCGAGCCTCACCCAGAGGATCCATCTCGTCGCGGTGCTCGCCAGGAAGGTGCTGCTGCAGGTGCTGCGCCACATGCCCGCAGAACTCCTCCATCTCCGAGGCCACGAAGGAGCACTGCTGCCACTCGCACTGCAGCACCACGGCCCCTTTACCACCGCCACGGGCGGGCGGCATGGCCGGGCTTGTGCAGGGCCGCCCAGTGCTCCCGTCAGCGCCCGGAACCGGCCCCGAGCCCGGCGGGACCCGCAAGGTTCGGGGAAAGCGGGACCGCGACCCCCGCCCCGCCTCTGCCCCGCGGGGGGCCCCACAACGCGACGGACCGCGCCCGGCAGCCCGCCAATCACAGCCGCCACCGCCCGGCCGCCCACCAATCACAGCCGCCGCCGCCCGGCCGCCCACCAATCACCGCGCAGGAACCCGCTGCCTGCGCACGGTGGCCGAGCGGCCCGGCCGGGAAACAGCGCTGTGCCATAAAGGTTCCAAGGTTCTTTCGGGCCTTGGGTAATTAATTAATTAATTAGCACGCATTAATTCCCGTTCTGGTTTGGGAAAAAGCCGGTCCCAGGAGCGCTTTTCACTGAAAAGAAGCTGTGGCTGCCCCATCCCTGGAAGTGTCCAAGGTGTTGCGCGGGGCTTGGAGCAACCTGCGGTAGGGGAAGGCGTCCCTGCCTATGGCAGGGAGAGCAATGGGAGACGCTTTAAAGTTCCTTCCAAACCAAACCATTCCATGATTCCAAGTTAATTAAACAATTCCTTGCTTAACCAAGAGTCCTCACACTGAAAACCCATCCCGGCAAACACTGAACACAAAACCCAGCAGTTCTGCTAGGAGATAAAGTGACAAATTCTCCCTGCTCCATCATCAGTAAATACATTGCATTAAATACACGCCGACTGTCCCAGCTGCTGTCCCAGGCTCTTTGTTACACAGAGCAGAGGCACGATTCCCAAAGCTTGCTTTGGCACAGGTAAATGCATTTTGAAAAGGGTTTTAAAGGGTTTTAACCTCTTTTAAAAAGGATTTGTACAGAACGTGCCCAGAGTGTGTCGTGCCAGCACACAACAGCTTTTGCAAACCTCACCCCACGGCCCAGCATGGAAAACACGTGCCCAAATCCACCAAACCAGCCAGAAAATCTGGGTGTGATGATTTCTGAAAAGAAACCACCAGGTAAGAGGTTTTCATCTCAAAGGAGCGTGGCTGAGCTTTTGTTTTCTCTCTGTTTGGTCGTTTTCAATGGAATTACTTTGCAGTCAGCACAGAAAACACCTGGAGCGAGCAGCCACGGAACGGGGCTGGGATTTAACCTGAATATCCTCCCCAAAGTACAGCAAATCCAGCCCGGGAGACAGAACTCGGTGCCAGGAGGCAGCTGGCAAGCACAGCCCATTGCTGACAGAGCAAAACCAGCGCCTTTTTGTGCCACTTTCCATCTGCCCCTGCCCACCTGGTGCTTCCTGCCCCTTCTGTTACCTGCCAGCCAAATCCCAGACACCTGTGGGCACCAGAAAAGAACAGAAGGGCCAAAAAGAAAGGTGTTTTTATCTAGAAATCCATCCACACATTGGTGTTAAAAATAACAATATAGTGTTGGCTTCCCCATTTCTGTATCAGCTTTTGCATATTATTATTAATCACAAAGATTTTGATATGATACAATTTATAATTCCCTTTTAACAGGTATAATATAATCCATTAAATATATATATTTATATATATAAAATAAAAAGGCGTATAATATATACCTCTTAACAGGTATAATATAATCCATTATATATATTTTTTTTATATATATAAAATAAAAAGGCATATAATATATACCTTTTAACAGGTATAATATAATCTGTCAGTTTATGTATGCACCATATAGCTGATATATATAAATAGTAGTGTGATAAACATATTGCATCCTAGGCCTTAGCATAATGTTAAAATAGAGACTTTGTAATGTTAAAATGCTTTTACTCATGTAACTAACTCAGAGAATGGTGTAAAATAATTATGTTGCTCCTCACATTTGGGGACTATCTCATCTGAATTACAAGATTACAGTGACAAAAACCAGAGCCCAATTTACTGACTGTTATCAGGGAGTGTAAAAACAGGATGGAACCATGAGAAGAAATAAAATATATTGATTTAATCTGAAGGATGGCTAAAACCAAGCAAAAGAATTCCTGGAACATCTCAACTCACAGGAATGTTTGAATAATGAATAAACCTCATGAATATGCATGTACCCCTGTATCAGTATATAAGAATATTGTTTTAATCTAACACTGCTGGATATTGTCCCTTTTATTTCCTTATTAAACTTTTAAGAAAATTATTCAGAGAGTGAACGCTGTTTCTCACACTCACATTGGGAATGATTCTGCACACAGGGGCTTGAGTGTTCATGGTGTGGTGTCCTCCCAGTCCTGAGCAGGCAGAGATCCTGAGTGGTTCTCCAGGCTAAAAACATCGGGAATTATTCAGGATGTTGTTCCAGACCTGCCTTGCCCAGCTGCTGCTGCTCTTGGTACTTTTTAATTTCCTCCGAAGGGGAAAAAATAATTACACTTAAAAAATCATTACACTTTAAAAAAAAACCCTTCCCCAGGAAGGCAGACCACGTGAGAGGCTGAATTAATCTGCAGGGCAGCGCTGGGCAGAGCTCAGGGAAGGAGCAGGAGGGCAGGATTTTCCCTAATGGCCCCACGAGCTGGCAGCAGACTCCAGCAGGAGGGAGATTTAATTAGGAGCAGCATCCCGGCGCCAGGCTGGTCCTGCCCTGCCAGATGAGCACAGCCATGCTGCAGAGGCACAGAGGATCTCTGACATGTCCAAGCTTCCCTGCTGGACACCCCAGAAATCCTCTGTGCCAGCCACGCTGCAGGGAAAAGGGGAACAGCAAACATGGGGGTGTCTCAAAGCAGCATTTCAGTGGTTAAAGAAGGGTTTAAAGGCTTTTGGTTGGGATTGATGCCTTAGGAGTTTAACTGTTTTATTTTTCACCCATTTGTAACCCTGCAGTTCTTTAGTGCAGAACTCTAAACTCCATATCCAGTGTGAGCTGCTGCTCTCCCATTTTGGGGCACACACAACAATTCCTCTCCAGGCCTGGCAATCAAGGACACCTCACTGCCTCAGGCCTGAGAGATGGAAACAAAAGGGAGTTGGGGGCAGCAAACTTGGGGTTTAGGCCATTAGGGTTAGGGCTAGGCACTTAGGGTTAGTGTCAAGCCTAGAACTGCTGGAATTCCTCTACCTTTGAGAGCTGATCTCCATTTCTGGCCACTTTTGTTGCTTTTTGGTACGAAACTCCCATCTTCACCTCATTTTTGGGAACCTGTTAGGGTTAGGTCATTAGGGTTAGGGGGACCTGGACACGAACACTGGCCCTTTTCACTGTAAAACAAAACTCACCTCCACAGTTTCCTGATATCAGTTTGGAGGAGGCGTTTGGCCTTCATTATCTGAAGTTATAATTGGAAGATTATTGATATTGATATTGAAATGGACCAAACTTATAACCTATGACTCATTGTCCATTTTGGGTTTAGCCCCTGAGGGGGCTTTGTCTGCCCTAAATGTACCAAAAAGCCTTTCAATAAATAAAACTGCTTCTTATTCCCTTCATTTTGTCTGGCCTCTGTTTTTAGGTAGCCCCAAAAGGCATCAGGATATTGCACAATCAAGTCTTGCTGCCCACAGAGGAGTGGCCAGGGCAGTTCTGGCCACCAGAACCTTTAATCTGGCTCAGGAGCTCCTTTCCTGGCTGCTGTTCCCTCTCCTTGTTGCCTCAGCCCTGTTGATAACAGGGAGCCAAAGCCAGGGATGCTCCTGCTGTCCCTCTCCTGCATCTTGTCCCTCTCCCTGGTGACTCCAGGCAAAGCCCCCCAGGTTCCCAGGTACAGTTTGGGTTGTGGAAAGCCCAGACCAGCCTGTGGGGTCCCAAAAAGGCAGAATTCCTGCCCAAGTCAGTCCTTTCAACAGTTTGTGGGCATCTCACACTCACACACAGAAAATGCTCATCCCAAGGCTTGTTTTTCCAGCCAGATTCCTCACCTGTAAGGAAAAGGTTCCTCCCTGCAAGGCTTGACAGATTTTCACTTCACCCCAAGGTTTCTCTGCCCACAAAACTCTGGTTTTCATCCATGAGATGTCAGCTTGGACAGGAAGGAGGCTCCTGGGGAAGGACCTGCACTGACCATGCAAATTGGAGTGAAACACAGATCCAGGGATTTGCATTTAAGCAAATCCTAAACGAGGTATGGTGCTGGAGACGTCCCTAAATTCTAGAAAATCCATTTCCGCCAGGCTCAGCTGGAAGTTTCCCAGGGAATTATGAGCACAGGCTTCACTCTGCTCTGGGAAGCTCATGAGGGACAGATCTTCCCCAAATTCCTGCAGGATCCGGGAGCTGGGACTCGTCAGCAGCACCAACAATGGAAACAGGTGAGTTCCAGCAGCTCAGATTTTCACAATTTGAGGAATCTTCATGGCAGTATCAGGGAAGGAACAAACTGTGCTGGGCTCCTATTGAAAAAAAAACAACACAAAAATTTGTCTAAAATAGCCATGTGACATCTTAAATGACCCAAAAATTTAATTAGCATGTTCTGCCTTTTCCAGAGTGTTTATATTCCTTCACAGTGCAATGCTTTATTTTTTTTTTTTTTTTCAAAAAGCAGTTAGATCAAAGTGATGTGAAATTGGACTCAATTTGCTTGGAAATGATATAAACTCAGGCCTGAATTAGCATTTTCTTCCTCAGTGCTGCCAGTGGCAGAGTTATCTGAAGTTTTGACAGCTCAGCATCAGATGCCTCTGCACGATTCCCTGGAAGCAACAGGTTCAGCTGTGTGATAACTTCAGACCAGGGTTAGAGGGCTGAGTGTTGCTTAATTAAAACAATTTGGGCAGAGGAATAACTGAGGATGTGAGTGAAGTGATTTTAACAGCACAGAGCAGAGTGTAAAAGCAGAGAGGTGTGGGAGTGCTTTTCTAATGCCTTTAGAGCACAGCAAAGGTGTCAGGAAAACCTGCAGAGCCCCAGCCCTGCTGGAATTCCTCTACCTGTGAGAGCTGATCTCCATCTCTGCCCACTTCTGCTGCTTTTTGGTACGAGACTCATCTTCAGCTCATTTTTGGGAGCCTGTCCCTTGCTTTGTGTTTGCTTTGTGCCTGCCCTTGGCTGAAGCTCTCTGATCAGCACTCAAACACCAAAATAAAATTCCACTTGCCCAAATTTGCAGCTGCTATGACCCAAAAAATCCCATCTGGGGCAAGGCCAATCCAGCTCTGTGCTGTTTGAACCCTCTCACCTCCCCTTGTGTGTGTGTGCACCTGGGGCCACAATGCCACCAGAGACAGAGCCAAGGGACACATCCTAAAGAGCAGAAAAGCCAAATGATAAATCCTGGAGATCAAACACATCACTTTGTTTTCCCTCAGGAGAGCGTGCCTCTGAGTTTTCCAAGGAATTAACTTCAAAGTTAGGGATTTTTTTTTTCCAGGATAATTTAATAAAAGCCCACATGGAAACTCCTCCCTGGCTCCACAGGTGCGAGCTCTGTGTTCAGGCCAGGATAAAGAAGCTGTCGCTGCCATTGTCCCTCAGCTCTGCACCCTCACCTGTGCCAAAACCTCTGTGCACAGCTCCCAAAATTCAGCGCAGGCACAGGGAGAGGGCAGATGCCTCACACCGAAGCCACCCGGAGCTGCTTTAGGTTGTGCTGTGTTCCAGGGCATAAAAACGGGGCCAGATCCCCCCAGGTGCCATGGCAGGGACACTTCGTGCCTTCCCAAAAACCTGGATGAAAGCAGAGCCCCCAAACACCTGCCTGTGCTTGCTGTGGAGACCAAACAGGCTGGGCAGGCAGCTCCTGTGTCCTTTGGGGGCTCAGAGGAGCCACCCCATCCCTGCAGGGCTCAGAGCTGCGCTGGGAGCCAGAGCTCCACAGGGGCTGAGCCACGAGCCCCCTGCTGAAATCAACAGTTCCATGAACATTCAACAGTTCAACGAACATTTGCTGGCCCAAAAGGGGAATTGTGGGGTTCCCCTTGAAGAAACAAAAGCCCCAAACCAGCAGGCAGAGAGAGAGACCTGCATGGAAAGGGTCACACACATCAGGCTCTCCTCTGCTCCCATTGTCAGGCTCCTAAGGGATGATTTTCTAGATTGAAATATTTCTATATTATATATAAAAAATATATTCATACACAATATTTTATTAATAATATTATCAACACATTCTATTTAATTAACATTGATAATATTCATATTTCTATATTTCTGTATTAAAAAGATTTCTACATTAGAAATATTTCTACATTAAAAATATTTCTATATTTATTTCTACATTAAAAATATTTCTACATTAAAAATATTTCTACATTAAAAATATTTCTACATTAAAACTATTTCTATATTTACTTCTATATTAAAACTATTTCTATATTTACTTCTATATTAAAACTATTTCTGTATCTAACAATTGCAAATTTACATTTTTTCCTCCCCAACTCCATGCACAGAGGCGATGAATTTGCTTCTCCCCGCTGCTCTGTGCTTTCCCTGAACTCTGCATTCCCTCAGTCCCTGCAGATTTTGGCAAACGGGTGTACCAAGGAGTGCGAGTGAAACACACGGTCAAGGATCTCCTGGCTGAGAAGCGATCCCGGCAGAGCAGCGGCTCCCGCTTCAGCGTGAGTCCCGTCCCCCACCCCTTTTTAACCCCATAAAGTCACCTCATGCCATCCTCTGCTTTAAAGGGAGTTTGGGGCACTGCCGATATTAACATTTGCAGCACTAATGCTTGCCCCGAAACATCCTTGATTTTCATATCTGTGAACCTTAAAAGCCTCAAAGCCCTTTTTTTTTTTTTTTTTTTTTATTATCAAGCATAGCGGTGATGTTAAATTCCTCTTTCCTTTCACATCCTACGTGTGACACCTTCCCCAAGTCAACTTCCTTTGCCACCAGCTGCACTTGGACGAGGCAGCTCCCCAAAAATATCTGCTCTTCCCCGAATGCTGAGCTCCTTCCAGCTCCTCCCCGAGTGCCAGGGGAGCTGCAGGGATGTGATGGGCTGGAAAGAGGCCAAGCATCAGCTTGGAAGAGATGATTTCCTCTTTAAGTGGTTCTATGGCAACAGGAAATCCAAGTCCTACTACACAACATTGTTGTTTTTTTTTTTTTTCTCAATTGCCAGCCAGACAAGCGTGGCTGTCCCCAGAAGGCGACACAATGCTGTGATGCCAGGATGTGGTGGCATCCAGTGGCACAAGGAACCCTTCCCTGGCTGCTCCTGGGACTCACCTTTGCAGGGCAGCAGCTCCTCTCTTCCCTGCTGGCTGGGAGCTCTGGGACACTGGCAGAGGAGGGGGAGCTGGAACTGTGTCCTGGAAAGAGAGAGAGGGAGCAGAGCTCCAGATCACAAATTGGGAATTCTGATGCTTTTTTCCCCAAAAGACATTTGCCTCTGGCTTTGTTTTGTTGTTCTGTTGGTTTGTTTTTTTCTTGTTTAAGAGGCTTCACAGGGTCTTACTTGCAAGTGTTTTTTCCCCACTGTGACTTTCAGGCCCATTAACTCTGTGTGACAAAACAGAAAAAAAAAAAACCAACAAGATTGGGCATCACCAAACAGCAAAATTCAGCCACAGACCCATCCCCACAGGCTTCAGCTGCTGCAGGAAGGCAGAAGCCCCCTGAGCCATGGAGAGTCACTGGGGAAGACACTCCCAGCAGGCAGACATTTGGGAAGAGGTCTTTGGGGAGCAGCAGGAAGCAGCTGAGAAAACAGCTCCTGGCTGATGATATCACATTTACCTGCTCCCCCTCTGGAGGCGGCAGCTTCAACAGCCACAATCAAACTCCCTGGAACTGTAAAATCCTCCTGGCTTTATTGCCCTTGGCTTTGTGCTGCAGAGCCCAGCAGTTGTGTGTGTGTGTGTATCTGATGCAAAACCAGCCCTGCTGCTCATTCCCCACGAGAGACAAAAAATGATTGTGCGGGGCAAACATCCGTATTTGCTCAGACATGTCATGAAAAGAGCAGCTGTGAGCGCAGCTCTGTTTGTCTGGCAGAATAGAACCCAGAAACAAAGCCAGGGGCAGATAACTGAACACCCCTTTGGCTGTTGATGATGCACAAGGTAATTTAGCTGCATCTTTTGTTTGAGGGTGATCTTTGCTCCAGGGGGAAAAAAAAATAATAATAATAAAAAGTCCCTTGGCCGTTGTTGGTGTGAGAGGAGGCCTGTGCTGAGTAGGGGAGTCCAAAGCTCAGCAGAGCAGAGTTTTGGGCTGAGGTTTCAACAATTTCCTGACAGCCAGGCCCTGCACACATCGAGTGATGGGAAATCAGTGCTGTGAGGAAAGCCACACAAAATCGGGGATTCTGCACCAACTGCAGGGCTCAGGGCTGGGCTTTAGGGAGGCTCTGGTTTTTCCTTGGCATAGGGATGAGCCTGCAGTTGTCCTCTGCGGGGTGGAAGGATTCCTGTCTTCTCTGAGGTGTGGAAGTGGATACCTGCACAGGTGAAGCACTGCAAAGCTCTGGTTTAAAGAGAATTCATTGCTGAGTGCCCAGCAGCACTCCCAGACCAGGGACACACATTCAGCAGTGCCCTGCCCAGGCTCAGCTTTGTTTTCATGGAGAATTTTTATTCCTTCAGCTGCTCCATTACAGATTCGGCCCAGAGAGGTGATGTCCTGCATCCAAAGCATTGCCAAAGAGCAGGGCCAGGTCGTTATTTTGAGCTGGATCTTTAAATTTGGTCAGATTTGTAGGCGAGGCAGTGAAGGAGCAGAGCTCCTGGAGAGATCCCAGCCAGGATCTGTGCCTGGCCATGGGCAGGGCAGGCTGAGCCCCAGCTTATCAACAGCTGGACACGCTGTGAGCCCCAGGGAGGCTGAGCAGACCTGCAGGAGATCCAGGCTCCCCATTCCCCTGGCAGGGAAAGGAAGCAGTGCAGGGAGGAAATGAACTAATGGGTCTCAATTAAGGCTGATAAGGAGCAAGGAGAGGAATGAAACGCAGGGCTCTGCATGATGAGGCCGAGGATGGGCTGCAGCAGAGGCTCCTGCACTTGAATTCAGGCAGGTAAAGCCCTGGGACTCTCCACCACAGGTGTGCACACACAGCCAGGCAGTCCCAGTGGCTGTGGAACAGACAGGATCAAAGATGAAATGCTCTGGTGATTGGAAATGATCCCTGCTGGAGGCTGCCAGCTGTGCCCAGGGACCTTCCTGTCCCTCCAGCAGAGCATCCCAGCTCCCATCACTGCAGCCCCTTGTCCTCTTGTGCTGCTTGAACCTCCCAGCTCGGCTTGTTCCTCTCCAAGTGACCTGGATGCTGAGAGAGGACCTGGATTTGCATGTGATGACTTCAGCTGGGGACAGGTGCAAGCCCTGCCCGTGTGACACCAACACTGCTCTGTACACAAGCCCAGGGGCTCCTTCCTGCCACCTCTGCAGCCCGAGTGGCCTGTGCAGGCTCAGAGCTCATTTCCATGACGGAGCAGGGAGCAGCTGCAAACCTTCCCTCGGCAGTAGAAGGAAGTCCTCGGGGCTGGCAAATTTAATTCAAATCTAAACCTCTAAATTTGGTTGCCTGCTATGGCAGGAACCTCCTGTTTGCACTATGCAAACTGGCCACAGAGTGCCGCCAGCACTGGCCAGGGGACGGCAGAGCTGACAGCAGTGCAGCTGGGGGCTCTGCATTCCTGCCCTGGGGGCTTGGAGCTCCCAAAACCAGAACTCACTGCGATTCCAGAGCAGCAGATGCCTTGGCCTGGGTGCTTTGTAAGGAATTAGGCACTGGGAGCATCAGTGTCACTCCAGCAGGAATTCTCCTTTACCTGGGGATCAAGAGGAGAGGATGAAGAATAATAATATTATTGTTATCATAACCATTGCTGTAGGACCCAAATAGGATCTAGGAACTCTCTCTCCTGCTTGTGCTGCCAGGTGAAGCAGCTCTGGGGCAGCAGACCCAGCACAGCTGAGCTGGAACATGGGCTGGAATTTGCCCATTTTGGCCACTCAGGGGCTCAGATCTCACCTTGCATCACCCTCAGCATTCTGCCTGCTTTGAGGGACCCTGTGGGACAGGAGGGAGAAGCCAGTTATCTTGATACTCCTCTTATCAGCTCTGCACAAGACCTTCAAAATCTCTGCTTAGCCTACATCACTTAATACCTGCGAGGAAATCATGGGGTTAAACCCTTCACAGCACCCAGGCTCAAATAATGCACGTGAATTACACTCAGAGAGCTGCCTTGCTTCGAAAAGTCATTTTTTTCAAACATCTCTTTATCTTTTGCAGGGCAGCACCAGCACAGCACAGTCGCCCTTTGGCCAAATGCCAGGTGAGGTTTTCCCTCTGCTGATAAACACCTTCCATGCAGGTGGGAGGGCTGGCTCAGCCCTGTCTGTTCTCCAACAGAGGATGTGAAACAAGCCCCAGAGCGGGGCCACCCCTCAGAGAGAGCCCAGGAGGAAAGTAATTAAAAGAGTCAAAAAAAGAACAGCAAAAAAATTTGTGTAAAATCCTCAAAGAGTGTAATTAAAGCACTTCCCACCTCTTGTAGCAGAGGAGCCATACAGGATCCCTCCTTTTCCTCCTGTGTTCTCCCATTTTCCCTGGAGCTGGAAAGCACAAAATCAGGAGCTGACCTGTTTTATCCCTTCAGCTCTCAGGCAGGGAAGGCAGAGTGAGGCTGGAACCTCCTCCCCAGGGGCTGTAGCAGAGGAAGGAAGAAGCACAGCCTGGCTGAGCTGACCTCCATCTCCCTGCCCTCATTCAAAGCCTCCCAAACACCTCTGGTTTGCTGCAGATAAAACCAAAAGCTCCTCGGGGATGGGTTCCTGGGTGAGGCTGGACAGAAAAGGGCTCTGTTTTGCACCCACAGAGGTGTCCATCATTCTGTGACAGCTGTTAGAATTTTCTTGACAGTTTTCCGCTCTTTTTTTGTGGTCCCCCCCAGGCTCACCCACCACGGCTGGTTACTACGGCGTCCGCAGATCCTTCCCAGCCGAGCTGGATTTCCACAGCACCAAGCAGTTTGTCAGTGATGTCTACTCGTCCCCTCTGGGCTCCAAGCCCTTCTCCTGCGACTCCTCTGCCCCCCAGGGCTACCCAGCCCTCCTGGAGCCTTACCTGAGCGAGCAGTTCGGGGATCACCGTGCTCCTCCTCTCCCAGCTGCCACCAGCTCCTTCTTCAACGCTCCGGCCGTGCCCCCTCTCCTGCCATCCTTCCCCAGTGACACGGGCCACCTCCTGCTCGTGAGTGGCTCCATGGCTCTGTGCCCCAGGGCAAGGTCACCCCATTGAAATGTGGGGTTCAGTCAGGGGGACTCGTGGCTGTTACAGGAGCGGGTGGGGCGGGGCTCTGGGGGAAAGATTTTCTCTTTAGCTCCATCTAATTGTCCCCTCTTCCTGTTGGGGACATTCCTGGAGACATCCCATTCTGCTCTGAACTGGAGACTGCTCCCAGGCACAGGCTGGGATTGCTGGGGTGTCCTGTGCAGGGCCATGAGTTGGATTTGATGATGCTGGTGGGTCCCTTCCAGCTCAGGATACTCTGTGATTCCAGGATTTTATGAAACCCTCCCTCCTTGTGTTTCTAGAAACTGTCCTTGGTGACTCCAGGCCTGTCCCTATCCCTGCCACTTGCCAGGAGTCAGCCCCACTCACACCCCACCACAGAGCTCCTGGATCTTGTAGGATCAGGGCTGGCCAGTCCTACTGGGACCCCATTCCAGGCCCTGACAGCATGGATGTTTTCTTCCACAGAACACCAAACACTGCTCCAGAGCCACAAAAACCCTTTGGGGATCCACATTCCATTACCTCCAGAACAGACTTTTGTTCCTAAGGGTTTTCCTTGTTTTCTCTCTCCGTTTCCCTGCAGAGAGAGCCCTGGGAGCAGACCTCAGCCGAGAGCCTCAGCCAGTGTGACACTGCATGCCCAGACCCTCTGCAGGCGCTCCCTGCCAGCTCCAGCTGCCTCTCCCTGCCTGAATCCGGAGGTGTTTCCCCGTTCCGAGGCTCGGGTTGGAGCCCAGCCATCCCTGGAGCCCAGCCCTACCCTCTGCACCCCCTAGAAGATGTCCACTACTCCCCCAGCTACGCTGCCACCTCGCCCTACAGCTTGTCCCCGTTCATGGCCGTGGCCAGTGAGCCCTCCAGGATGAGCCACCAGTGCCTGGAGCAGCCCTTGGAGCCACCACACCTTCCTGACCACTCTGCCTGGGCTAAAGAGGATGGAAGTGCCCTCTGGGGGACTTATGAAGGCAGGAGAACTTATTGAGGAAAGAGAAGCAGATCATTATCGAAGCAAATTTCACACTCCGTCCTAAAACTGCTCCTTCAAACGTGATGCTCTGTGATTTACTTAGAAATACAATCATTGGACACACCACACTGAGCTCAGAGTGCTGCCTTCTAGTGCCTCGTGAAAGGAATTTCTCCCAGTCCCACTGTGCCACAAGTAAAACACTCAGCCTGAAAAACGCCCGCGCTCTGCAGGCTTTTCCTACCGGCAAGGATCCCTTCTCAGAGGGCTTTTCCATTTTCCTGGATGGTTTCGAGGTTCTGTAGGGTGTGGGCACTGCCCTGTCTGCTCCCAGAGCTCCAAACGCCCCCTCCCTGACATCCCTTTGGGCCCGAATGAACGGCAGAGCCGCTCCTTCCCTGCCCGCCCCCGATCCATCCCCACCTGCCGCGCACCTGGCTGCTCCAGAGGCATCCAGGTGTGCTGCCACAGGCACCGCAGTGGCCGCCAGCCCCGTGGCCACTAGAGGTAGCTCTGCACACACGAACCCGGCGAGGTGAGCCCTCCCCTCCCAGAGCCAGCACATCCCTGCTGCCTGGTCCCAGGGAGGAGGTCACCCCTTCACCCAGCTCGCCCCCAAGCCTGGCACCCACAGCCGCAGCAAGAGGCTCTGGAGCATCCCAGCCCCTGGGAATGTGGAGGGATGAGAAGTTTTAAATCTCTCCTCAAATCCTGCTGCTGGTGGAGCACCTGAAGCCTTCACAGCACCTTGCACTCCCACGAGTGGCAGGTGTGGAGCCTCCTGGGGTGGCCCCTGCCCTGCCAGAGCTGTTCCCCGGTCACCTCAGGGTGTGTGCCCCAAACGTGAGTCCAGCCTGAGCCTTGTTCCACCCAGTGAATCTCAGCTGCTCCTTCTGGGGCTGCTGTGAGCAGGGCCAGTGTGGCTGTGTTGCCACCAGGCTCTGAGGGAGAAGCAGAGACAGGGTTTTGAGCTGGCTTCAAAGTGTTTGACCCACCCAGGCACTCAGCTCCTATTCAAGGCAGGGTTTTTATCAGCCTGGAAATGCTCTGAAGCCCAAGTCCTGCAGGAGCAGCCAGGACTCAGCTGCCTCGTGTTTCCTGAAAGCATCCAGCTGCCCCAAGGCTGCAGGCTCTGCTCTCTGCTTACAGGGGGAACCATCATCCCAGCTCCCTGCAGCTCCAGGAGGGAGCAGCCCCAGTAAGAGAAGGGTTTCAGATCCCAAATTCTTTAGTGAGAACCCCCCCGCCCAGCACATTCCTTTGTGCTCCAGGGCAGGTGGACTCTTCTCCTGGTGGGATGTGTCCCTATAAAGCTGTCCCAGGCAAGGCTTGGCCTACCAGGAGCTGCAGGGGCACATTTCAGAGCCAGGAATGGCCTCACTCCCCGCAGAAATCAAGTGTTATTTGTTCAACTTAAAGGAAAATAAAAGATTTGGCCGTGACAGCAGCCAGCCTGAGCTGCTGGTAGATGATTAACAGCCTGGCCTGCTCCCTGCCTCGACTCCCTGCCTGTGGTCCTCAGGAAAAAGCTTAAAAGCAGCATAAAAACCCAGTTCCAGCAGTGCTGTCAAGGGATGGTCATCCCAAAAAAAAAAAAAAAATCTGAGTCACACACTGAACCCCCCACCTGCAGCTCCCAGGACAGGCCAGCACTGAGGCTTGGGAGGAAAAAGCCAATTTGTGCAGCACAGGCAAACGGGCTGAAGTGGGGGGAAACACAAATAAACTCCAGTGTGAGCCCAGCACTCAGGCAGAGGGAGGGAATGCTGGGGGAAGAAGTGGGGTTCAGGTAACTTCTGCCACCTGGGTGCCCAGGGCTGCCCCTTTGTTAGGCCACAGCTGCCCGCTGCCATTTTGGCCCCAAATCCTCAGAATTTAGCCTTAAAACGTGAAAAAATGTGCAAAAAGCAAGTCAGTCCCTTGCAGAGTGCTCACTGCAGGTAGCAAATGAAATATGAGAGGGCTGGAGCCCAGCCTGTGCATCTGAGGGGAAAACACTGAGCAGGTTTGGAGGCATCTGCTTCATTCAGGGAAAGATGGATAAAACCCTGCAAATGTCCCAAAAGCAAAGGGTGGGGAGGGTGACCCCGCCAAATCCTATTCCCCCAGACCTTCTGCTAGATGGGGATGTGCTCGGTTTCACAAAAAGATAGCCCATTTTGTGGAGCCTTTGAATATTCAAATTGAAAGTATCGCGCAATCATTGATTGTCAAATCATTGGTTTCTAGAGGTTTTAAATACTTGGCATAAGGAGAGAAAAACTCAAACTTATACCCGTAGGGATAAAACAATAATATTGTCGGGATCCACCTGCTATTGCCACCAGGCAGGCAGGTCCCTTCACCCCCAAATTTCGAGCCTGACTCCCCTTGCCCCCTTTGGCCAGCTTGTGGGGCCGGGGCCGGGGCCACCTCTGCTGCTGCACCGGGCACCTGGCGAGGCGCTGCCCGCTCCGGCTCGGGATGTCGGGTAAGCCCCGCTCCGTGCCCCCGCCGGGTCCCCGCACCCCGCTTTGGGGCCGTTTCGGGGTCACTCCGCCAGCGAGGCGATCCCGCCTGCCAAGGCGGCAGGAGGGAGCGGGGAGGGCGGGGAGGAGGGAGGGAGGAGGCACCGGAGGATCGGCTGCTGCTCGGCACGGGGCTCGGCGGGCACCGAGCGGGGTTTCGGCAGGGCTGGCTGTGCTGCGAGCCCCGGCCGGGGGTGACAGGGGACCCCTGCACATCTGTGTGCCCGTCCCGCACATCTGTGTGCCCTCCTTGCACAGCTGTGTGCCCTCTCTGCATATCTGTGTGCTCACCGTGCACATCTGTATGCCCACTCCGCATCCCTGTGTGCCTTCTCTGCATCCCTGTGTGCCCACCCTGCACATCTCTGTGCCCATTCCGCATCCCTGTGTTCCCTCTCTACATCCCTGCATTCCCTCCCTGCATCCCTGTGTGCCCACCCCGCATCCCTGTGTTCCCTCTTTACATCCCTGTATGCCCACCCCTCATCTCTCTGTGCCCACCCCGCATCTCTGGGTGCCCACCCAGCACACTCCACTCCGGCCATGCTGCTCCTGAACCCCAATCCCGAGTCCACCCCCTGTCCTTGTCACCCCGCTCCCAGCCCACCCTCAGCAGCCTTTCCCTCCATCCCCAGCACCATCTCTGTGCCCCTGGACCCCCAGCCCCATCACGCTGCTCTCCGAGCCCCAGAATCCTCACTCTGTTCCCTGACCCCCAACCAACCCACCTTGGCCACCCTTCTCCCTGACCCCCAGTCCATCACTTTGCCCTCTGACTCCCAAATCCACCATCCTAGCCTTGACCCTGCTAGAGGGGGCTGCTCCCTCAGAGCCCTCCCTGGCTGCAGGGAGATCAGCTAACTGAGCTGTTCTCCTTAAATCCCACCCTTCCCTCCCCTCATTTCCCCCATCTTCACTTTGTTGAACAGAAACAAAACACCAAAACATGAGCTGAATAATCCCCAGCTGAGCCCAGCTCAGCAAACTGCCCTAAAGGCAGTCCTGTCACCTCTCCGGTGCCTGTCCCAGCTTGTCCTCACCCAGAGCACCACGGGGGCACTGGGAGGGCTGGCCGAGGTCACAGCAGAAGGGGACAGTGCCTGCCGTGCAGGATTCCCTGGCTGTGTGGGCACAAGCTGCAAACCCAGCGTTGTTTTTGTGCCAGGATCTTGCAGCTGCCTCGGAGAAGGTGTTCTGTGTCCAGAGGTGGCACTGGAAGGCCGGGTTTGGCTCTGGCACTGCTGTTCTCCTGCCGGGAGTTTATTTTTGGTGCCTCCTTCAGGGCTGTCTGCTCCCTGCTCTGGCATTTTTTGAGTGCAGTGATCAGTCTGGTGTTTCTGTGTGATTTGGATTAAAACATCAGCAGAAAGTTAGGACAGAAACAACTGCCAGAGGGTCTGAGTGTTTTACCATGAGTACATCAAGTGAAAGTGGTTTTTCAGAAGAAGTACATTCTTCATAATTTCCTGTCCTAAAAATCCCTCATCAGGTAGTGACTGGTGATTGCTGGTTGGTTTGGGCTGGATTAAACACACCCTAAATTCTTGTTTGAAATAAATAGGAGTTGTACATGAGCAGAATAAAGAGATAATCTCAGAATAAAGAGATAATCTAGGCTTTGCAAGAAAGCAGTCATTTTATTGGTGTTTTGTTTAGTTCTCTGAATAACCACCCACATATTTCCATTGTTTTATTCCCGGGTTTCATCTGCCAGATGAAGCGCTTCCCACATTTATTTTCAGGTCCTGAGAGAGACAAATATGTCAGGAATTTAAATGAATCCAACAGCAGCACCAGATGGAGCCTGGTATTGGGAAAGCTGGAAGGGGGGCAGGGGGAAGAAGGAGATAGAGAAGAATAAAACATGTGGTTATTAAATATTATCAACAGCAAGATTTTCATGAGTGTCTGCTGGTCCCAAGCTGGAACAGCAGGTGTTGAAGAGGGCTGTGAGTGTGACTGCAAACAGAGACCAATTAGTCATGTTAAGTCTAATTGTTCTCCACATAGAGCACACCTGAGAACCTCCTGGATTTGCTGTTTGCTCTGAGATTCTCCCTCCTTGCAAAGTGTTTTTCCACAAATTCTTGCAGGAAAGCCCAAGGTGTACCAAGGTGTGAGGGTGAAGATCACAGTCAAGGAGTTGCTGCAGCAGAGGAGAGCACGACAAGCAGCTACTGGTTCAGAAGTGAGTGAAAATATTGTGGTGTTTGCTTTGTACCTTCTCTTTTATTTTGTTTTTATTTTTTTTTCCTTGCCAAGCCTAATCTCTGGGCCAAAATCTGAATGTAACAGGCTGGTGAGGATGGGGGAAAGGAACATTCAGTCAGAGTAGCTGCAGCACTGATCTAAAGGAGTGAGAATCTGAGGAATACAGGGAGAAAGCAGAGCTGCTGCTCCAGAAAATCACTCCCTGCAGGATGGAAGGCTCACCTGGGCAGCCCCATCCCTTGTGGAGGAGGGGATGGAGCTCTGTGTGTACACACACATGCACATTCCCTCTCATTCCCTCTCCCAGCCTTTGTAGGATTCCTCCAGCTCCAGCCACTCTGGGAATTTGCATAAAGAGCTTGGCAAATCAGTATTTCTTCCTGGTTCGTGACATTACAGCTCTTGAAGCCTTTCAGATTTCATCTTCTGCACTTTGTCGCAGCTGATTGCACAAAAATCAGCCTGAGAGGCGGGGGCAGAGAGGTCTGGGTGAAGAGAATTGGCAGGTTTTGGAGACGCTGGGTCACTGCTGCCCTGCAGCAGCCCCTTCATCACAGCCAGGTGTCCCAGGGCTGTGTGGAACCGGTTTTCACTCCCCACCAGCACTCACACAACCCCTGTGGTGCCCACACAGGAAAAAGTGAAAAGTGGCAGTGAGGGAAGTGACCTCGGGGACCTGCACAAGGTATGGCCCTCCCCAAAACCCCCGAGGCTTTGGGCTGGCAGGATGTGCGCTGAGAAAAAGCTCAGCCTGGGGACTCCACCTCTGTCTGCCTTGGCACATCTGCACCAGGGAGAAAAGGCACTCTCAGCCCAGAAGAGGCACTGCTAAAGGAATTAAATGCACGGGATGTGCTAGGAAGTTGTTGCCAGGGAAATGAGCTGCTCGCTCGAGAGCATCGTGAATAAAGGGAATTAAGTGGGGGGCTGTATGAATTAAAACTGAGGGGAAAAGACCCAGAAGTATTTGTACTTGCAGAGTAAAATCCTGGGCCCCAAGCACCAAAACTCCCCTTGCTTTTGGGGTGGATTTGTCCCTTCAGGTTCCTAGGAGTGGTTGATCTGTCTTGTTTCAGCTTCCAACATTCCTTCAAAAACGAAGCTGTCCCTTTTCCAGGAGCACTGCCAGAGCTGCTTCTCAAACAACATCGATCCAGTCTGATGGGATACCTGCGGTGGTCTTTAGTTAATTATTAATTCTCAGTAATATCCATCCCTATGAATTCCATGGGATTCCCTCCGCTGTGGAATTCCCGCTCCTGGAAATGAACACACATTCGTTTCAGAGGCAGCTCTGTGGAATCAGGAATGCAGCAAAAAGAGCACAGAGCTCAGCTTGGTGCTGTGATTCCCGGTGTTATCACCAGGAAAAATCGTATTGTGCACATTAATCTAATGTTCTGTCCATGCCGGGGAGGTTTTCCCAGCCACAGCTATGAGGGAAATAAGGTTTATTTAAGGAGTTTACTCTGAAATCCAGACTCACCTCGCTCTGTGCCACAGCTCCTCTCCTTCCCTTCTCTTTGCTCAGGTTTCCTGGGGCAGCAGCAGCAGCATCCAGTTTGCAGAGTCTGTGTCTCCGCCTCACCCAGGTTGGTACAAAGCCCTTCCACACGGCCCTTCCCACCCCATTCCCAAATTTTCCCACCGCCCCGAGCCTTCCCAGCCCTCGTTTGAGGCCGGCACCACCCGGGGTGTGGCCACTCGGCACCTGCAGGGAGCCCTGGCGTGCAGGTGAGGAGCTCGCACGGAGCTCTCCTTTCTTCGGGTTCTTCTTCCCGCTGCAAGGAATTGCATCCCCTTCGGGAAAGGATGCTCATCCCTAGGGAATAACATCACCTTCCCCAGGCTGTGAGTGCCACTGAGGCTCAGAGTGCCCTGGAGCACCGGGCTGAGTTCTGTTCTCTCCTCCCTCTCCTGCCAGCATCCATAGGAGTGAGAGAAATTCCACATTTTCAACACCACCAAGAGTTTCCTCCTCCTGCCTGCAAATATCCAAGGAAAAGGGGGAAAGGGCGAGGGGAGAGGGCGCTTTGGGCTCACAGATCCTTCAATCATCCCCAGCCAAAGCACAGAGGAAAGGTTGGGCAGGTGTGAGTGCAAGGACAAGGAAATTGTTAAATCATCAATAGCTGGGAATCCATTTGCTTATGTTAATAGAGAAACGTGAGACACGCCAAAGCTGACATGCCAAAGCCTTTTCAGGCTGGAAAGTCTCCATCAGTTTATGTATTTTGGGTGTTTGTCACTCCCCACAGCCAGCTAGGCACTGCCACTTTTGACCCTGCAATGTGCACTTCAGACCTGTGCCCTTCACGTGGACAGGGCTTAAACCGTGTTTGAACTCGGTGTGAAAAGATAATAATTCTGAAAAGCCAGATCTGCTGTGAGCTTTCCAGGAACTCACCCTTTGGCCAGGAACACTACATGGTCACAGTGCCACAGCATCCCTGGCTTGCTCCATTTGTTCTGCTCAGAAGTTTGCCTCCTGTCTGGCTGTTTGGAGGATAAAAAAAAGCAAATTATCCTCCTGTTATCCCCTTTTTGCTGCAGGTGTAGCTGCCCCGGTCTGGAGATGAGGCAAAGGCACAAATCTCTGCCTGGCACCTTCTGGGGCTGGATCCCTGTCCAAAATTCCAGGGGCCAGAAGAGTTTCCAGCATTTAAAGAGCTTTATAGCTGAGGGGGGCTGGATTCCCTGAGTTATTCACATGCTTTTGAGCATTTCCTACAAAACCCACCTTGCCCTTGAAGGGTCCATTTTAATGTCGAACTTCACTGGGTTGCTGAGCATAGGAGAGCACTGAAACCTGGCCTGGGGCAGCACCTGCCCTTTGTGCAGACAGACACCGAGTAATTTCCTGCTTTCCTTTCTCTCCTAGAACCTTTTGAAGCAGAACCCATCCCTCCCGTGCCCAGCTGCTGCCCGTCCTGGCAGTTTTCCAGCTGCCTGTCCTGTGAGGAAAGCCCGGGGTACCTGGAGCAGCTGATTGATTCCTGCCTCCAGTCGGATGCAGCCTCTGAGCCAGCCTTCAATGCCTTCCAGCCATCCTCACACTACACCCCAGACCCCTTCCAGCCAGCCCAGCTCGGCTCCAGCCAAGCCCTGGTGAGCTTTGGGACCCTGGGGAGCAGCCACAGGTGTCCCCAAGGGGAAAGGGAGTGACATCCTGGGATAGAACAGCAGCAATGTGGGAATCTGGCTGCTTTCTGGAGCCTGGGATGCTCCTGGGCTCTGAATGCTTTCCCGTGGGGAACCCCAAATAAACTAAACTGGGAGAGGCTGCGGGGTGGGGGAATGGCCATTGTAGAGGTCCTGTAGATTTTCTGCAAATAGCAGCACAGTTCCTGCAAGGGATTGTCCCTGCTAACAGAAACTTTGGGTTTAGACCTCCAAGATCTCCCTGAGAAAGGCAACAACAGAGGAATTCTGGTTGCTGACCACATTTCTGAAATCTCCCTTATTTTTTTTTTTTTTCCTCTCTCTCTCAAACTGCAGGCTGCCAGCTCACCCAGCCCAGCTGACCTGCCCAGCCCCTGGAGCTCCAGCTGCTCTCCCCCTCAGCTCTCTCCCCTCACCCCTCTGACCCCCAGCCCTCCCTCAGCCCTGGACACCAAACCCTACAGCTGCCCCATGCAGGAATGGCCCTGCCACCCCCCCTGCCCCTTCCCCAGCCCTGCCTGCTGCTGCTCAGCCTGTGGCTCCCAGAGCATGGACAGCAGGGTCCTGCAGTGCTGCCCCTGCCCCAGCACGGACTGCACGGAATTCCTGCCACCCCTGGCCCTGGCTGACGACTTCTTCAGGAGGGACAGGAGCTGTGACATTTGCTACAGCTAATGGGGACTGTGGTTTCACACATCCACTCTATCCAAATCAGATTAAATTGCCCATGAACTATGCAAAGTTGTGCTGCCTAACACTGTCCAGTTTATTCTTCACTACTTACACATTTTTTTACATGATGCTGTCACTACACTAATCTAAGGTCAGGGGTGTTTTGTTCTTGTTGTGGTGGTTTGTTTTGTTGTTTTTTTTTCATTGTTGCTGTTCTTTAAATAAATCTGAAGCTGCCTTATCAAACACTTGTCATTACACCAGCTCTTTTTGATACAAATAAATCATTTGGTGAAAATGCTGAAGCCTGGTCATTTTTCATGTGCTAAAGCTCAGAGCTTTTCTTTTCTGCTGCTGATCCAGGCTGCTGACCCAGAGGTGAGGATGAGATTTCGAGCAGCCTGTTCAGTGACAGGAAAGGTCTCACTCACCCTTTGCAGCAGATAAAAGGTCCACATTTAATCCAGCATCCAGCTTTTCCTGGAGAACTCTGTGCATCACCCAGCTCTGAGGTAAATCTGCAGCTCAGGCTGCCCTGCTGCCATTTCCCAGTGGTTGTGGCAGGAAAGGAAAGCTGCTGTTTGCTGTTTGCCACACCAGCCCGGGGTTCAGCCATGGCCCCTCAGAGGTAAAATCCAGAGCCAAACTTCTCTGGCTGCTGCCCAGCACCAGCTTCCCTGTGCAGGCAGAATTCCACTGAGAGGCTGAGGTGGTTTGGCAGCCCTTGGTCGAGTTTGGGCTGTTGATTAAAGGTTTTCAGCATAATCAGCTGAACAGGAGCTAAATTATTTACTTTTTAAAAAAGTAGATAATGGGAAAGTTGTAATACCCGAGGATTTCCTGTTTGTTGCATAAACCCAGAACTTTCTAAGATTTTGTCTTGCCTCCTCTTGGTGAGGCAAACTCAGTTTCTCAGCTGAGCACCAAGAAAGAAAGGAAAGAAAGGAAAGAAAGGAAAGAAAGGAAAGAAAGGAAAGAAAGAAGCCTTCCATATTAAATTCCTCAAAAAAGAGAAAATAACTACACCTGTGAAGAGAAATATGAATTCTATCCAGCTGTTGGCTCATCTTGTCCAGACACTTTCACACTGAACTGAAAATCCTTCCAGTTCCTTTACCTTATGTAAGGGAGTGTTTTGGGGTTTTTTTCCAAAACATGGTTTAAAAATATTTTGATACCTTCAAATAATATCCCCCACTTCTCCCCTGATTAATCTCAGCATTGGCCCAAGTGATAAATTCATGAGGTCACAGCAAAAAATATCTATCATGATGTAAATTATAAAGAGCTGTAACTTTGCAGCAGTTCAAGGTGTGATCACCCCTGTGCAGGGACACCCCACCAAGTGCCATTTTAGCAGTGCTGGCAGCTGCTTCAGCCCTTGAGTGATATTTTGGGGCACTGAAGGGCTGAAATTCTGCCCCAGAGCTCACCCAGTGCCCAGCTACTCCTGCCTGCTGCCTCAGGAGCAGGCACACCTCGAGGCACACATCAAAGCACCTTATCAGCAACAAGAAAAAGCCAGGGAAGATAAGGCTGAGGCAAGAAATGTGAGGCTTCTGGAGGAAATGGGGTGCCCACATCGTCCCCATGGCTTGGCAAGGTTGGCCTGAGCTTAGCAGAGCCAGGGAGATGCTGTCAGGGAGTAAAAGGGCACCATGAGATGATAAATAAGGGTTTAAGAAGGCTCATTAACACATCTTACAAGCGTGCACAGCAAGGAGGGCAAGTGTTGGAGTCTGACAAGATATCTCTGGCCTCCAGATGGGGTGGGTGTGTAATTCTCACAGGTTATTGGCAGATTGCACATTTATCAATAAACTGTGGTGTGGATCTTCCCCAGGACTGCTGGGCACACGTAGCAATGTCAGCACTAAAACCACCCGAAATCCCATCCTTATTCTTGAAGGATGCCTGACCCAGGCAAAAAAAAAAAACAAAACAAAAACCAAACTCAGTGGAAGAGACAAAGATATTTCCAGCAAAATGTTCCTACACACCAAAACCTCCAGGTTTTACCAGCTTCCATCACATTAGCAGCACCATTTTCATCCCTTGCAGCTTCTTCCTCCTTCCCTGCTGCTCCTTCTGCAGTGGTTTGGCAATCCCCCCGTGGCAGACTGGAATCGTTTTTGAGATGCTGTCCCCACCTCCCTGTCAACAGCCCCAGGGGACACACTCAGGACAAGTAAAAGCTTGCTGGCTGTTGACACAAGGCCTTGTTGACACAAGAAAGGGGAAAAAACACAACAGAGGAGCCATTCAAAGGCTGATTGTGCTGTGTTTTCTGGCTGTTAGAAATTTATTATTTCCCTCCTTTATCCCTCCCAAAAATAAAAAAGGAGTTAAAGGAAGTACCCAAAGCAGAGCTGGCTCTGTGAAAGGCTGGCTTTTCATCAGTCCCTGCCAGGTGAAGCCCTGACTGCCTTTATAAACACAAACCCGAGGATCATCTCGTGCTTACAAAGCCATGAGTAACTCCAGGAGTCACCCGAAGTCACAGAGGAAAAGAAAAGGTTCTTATTTTCAGCTTCTCTAGCAGAGAATTTGATCTAAAAGCTTCTCTTGCCAACCGACTGACAGCTTTTCTCTGGTGCCACTTCAGAACGTTTGTTTGGTGATAACGAGCCTTTGTTATTAGCAACTTATCCAAAGCCACAGGTCGGAAGAGATAAACTCTGCAAATAAAGGGATATCACACACTGCAATGCTGGGCTAAGACAAGTTACATTTCTCCTGAAACAGCAATAAAAAATTGAGGGGTGAACTGTGAACTGCTTAAATTCACCTCAGTAGAGAAGACAGGACAGGTGTGAGCCTTAAAAAAGTGATTTTCTTCACAGCCAGGCCAGGAATTGGGAAAGGGAAATGGAAAATTGTTTTACACACGGGGGAAGCAGCAGCTTCCAACAGTCTGGTGGCTCCAGTCCAAAGCCAACAGGAGCAGCTTGTGGATTGTGGATTGTGGATTGTGGATTGTGGATTGTGGATTGTGGATTGTGGATTGTGGATTGTGGATTGTGGATTGTGGATTGTGGCTGCTTTCAGAGCAGGCTCTGCTGGCTGAGCTTTGGCAAGAGAGGAGGAATCCTGGGGCTGTCATGGGCTCTTCCTGCTGCAAACCTCATCCATCAGCTCCCAGCAGCACCAGGGGGATGTGTTAATGCAGCCACACTCCTCCCCTAAAAGGATATTTCCCCTGATATTCTGGAGATGGTGATGATTCCAGGCTCCCACTGACACTGCTTTGTATGGAACACCCGACATCACAAAGAGAAAAGCCACTCTAGGAAAGAAAGCTCCTGTATTTTTTTTTCACACGCTGCCAAAGGACTTCAGTCACCTCACAGACATTTTGAGATGGCAAAAAGCTTTTTACATTTCCACGTGCTGCTCACAGTTTGACAGTTCTGCTGCTGGCAGGTTCCAGAATTTGATATTTTATCCATCATTTTGCCTTGACACACGGTTCTAACCCACTGATTCAGTTCTCACTCCATTCAGGCCTCCTTGTAACATCCTTCCAAGGGAGACAGCAAAGGCTTTTGCTGGCCAGTGCTCAGATACATGAAAATTTATGCAAACACATGCAAATACACGTCTGCTTCTGTATCAGCAGGATTGGAGATACCTGCAGTGAGAGGCAATGGCCCAACAGCAGAGAGGAGGGCTGGAAAATCGAGACCTCTGCATTTCTTAAGAGCTTTTGTTCGTGTCAGTTGTTTAAACACTCCAGTGCCCCAGGAAATCGCACTGAGGCAGCCACTGGGTGCTCAAGGAAGCGGCTGCAGTGATTTAAGAGCTCTGCCCTTCATCCCTCTGCCCATCCTGCTGGAGAACAGCACCTGTGCACACTGAGAGTCCAGCAAAATGCAGCTCAGAGCGAGCCCTGAGGATGGGACAGCCTCTGCCAAAACACAGCCAGGCTCTGACCTCAGTCCCTGCCCCAGCAGAGTCAGTGATTGCACAGCAATTCACAAATCATTTCACAGAAACGCTAAAATGAATCTGCTATCCCCTCTCAGGTGGCAACGGGAGCAGGAGAGCACTCACCCCTTGCACCCTGACCAGGCACAGCCCCACTGGGGTTTGCTGCCCTCAAACTGCTGGATCCCAAAGGAATTCTCTGTCCCACACAGGTGAGGGCTCAGCTCCCCACCTGAGGGGCTTCCAGAGCTGCTCTGTGCACCAGAACTGGAGATTGGATTGGGTTGGGTTGGGTTGGGTTGGGTAGGGTGGGATGGGATGGGATGGGATTGGATTTGGTTGGATTGGATTGGGTTGGATTGGGTTGGGTTGGATTGGGTTGGATAGGGTTGGGTTGGATTGGATTGGATTTGGTTGGATTGGGTTGGGTTGGATTGGGTTGGGTTGGGTTGAGAGTCTCCCCTCAGGAGTCACACAAAGCTGCCCCATGTCCTGCTCTTACAGCACCTGGTTCTTTTCTTGGGCTGGGTGAGAGCCTGGCCATGGGGAGCTGCTCCAGAGCCCCCAAAATGCTGAGAATGGGCAGCTCCATCTTCAGGACCTTCCTGTGGGACTCTTGGGTTTGGATGTTTCCATTCCCTCGGCTCAGATCCAGCCAGGGCTGACTCAAGTTCTCCATCCAGGCTTTCCCTCCCCTCAGGATCCTGCACTCCCAGGGCAGCAGGGTCAGTGGTGACTGCACATCACAGAGCTGCAGCATTTCCAGCAGTCCCTCTGCTCCCTCAGAGCAGCATTTCTCAGCCTTTTACAGCCAAACTCTCACCTTGTGCTCTGTCACCTCTGCTCCCAAATCAAATCTTGGCTGTGCTTTGAACTGATTTGGAATATTTACTTATTTATGTAGCAGCCATTTGATTTGCTCACCTCCTTGCTGGAGGTTTATTCACATTCTCTGTTACCCAAATTGAGTTTTCAGCCATTTGAAAGCTCATCTTCTGCTGTCTGACCTGCTGCTCAGGTGGAGAAACTCTCACCCCAGCCTGGTTTAAGCCTGGAGGAGCAGGGATGTGCTGCAGATCCACCCTCACAGTTTTTCTAGGAGGCAGAAGCTGGAGTTGCAGCCATTCCATAAGCTGCAGTTCAGTCAGGATCTGGCATTTCTGCGGCAGGAGTTGAATGCAGGTGGGACTTTCCCTTTCTTCAGCAAATGCCTGACCTGCCAAAAAAATGTGGAATTTCAGGAACATCTGAGCACCATCTGAGCCAT